AACATTGCCTTTATACACCATTTCAATGTGTGTGTGTTCAATTTTCTCTCTGCACACAGCAACAGTTCCATTGAACACGGCCATATGGTGTGGAAAATACATACAGATGTGAAATGGTTATAATATGATGTTTTCAAGATTGATTTTTAGTCAGGAGTGAGGACCCCTGCTGACCCCTGCTGGCCAGGGGGTTAGGCTGACCCCTGCTGGCCAGGGGGTTAGGCTGACCCCTGCTGGCCAGGGGGTTAGGCTGACCCCTGCTGGCCAGGGGGCTAGGCTGACCCCTGCTGGCCAGGGGCTACACTGACCCCTGCTGGCCAGGGGGTTAGGCTGACCCCTGCTGGCCAGGGGGCTAGGCTGACCCCTGCTGGCCAGGGGCTAGGCTGACCCCTGCTGGCCAGGGGCTACACTGACCCCTGCTGGCCAGAGGGCTACGCTGACCCCTGCTGGCCAGAAAGCTACGCTGACCCCTGCTGGCCAGGGGGCTACGCTGACCCCTGCTGGCCAGGGGGCTACACTGACCCCTGCTGGCCAGGGGCTACGCTGACCCTTGCTGGCCAGAGGGCTACACTGACCCCTGCTGGCCAGGGGCTACGCTGACCCCTGCTGACCAGAGGCTACACTGACCCCTGCTGGCCAGGGGGGCTACACTGACCCCTGCTGGCCAGGGGGCTACACTGACCCCTGCTGGCCAGGGGGCTACACTGACCCCTGCTGGCCAGGGGCTACACTGACCCCTGCTGGCCAGGGGGCTACACTGACCCCTGCTGGCCAGGGGGTTAGGCTGACCCCTGCTGGCCAGGGGGTTAGGCTGACCCCTGCTGGCCAGGGGGTTAGGCTGACCCCTGCTGGCCAGGGGCTACGCTGACCCCTGCTGACCAGAGGCTACACTGACCCCTGCTGGCCAGGGGGGCTACACTGACCCCTGCTGGCCAGGGGGCTACACTGACCCCTGCTGGCCAGGGGGGCTACACTGACCCCTGCTGGCCAGGGGGCTACACTGACCCCTGCTGGCCAGGGGACTACACTGACCCCTGCTGGCCAGGGGCTACGCTGACCCTTACTGGCCAGAGGGGACTACACTGACCCCTGCTGGCCAGGGGGCTACACTGACCCCTGCTGGCCAGGGGCTACACTGACCCCTGCTGGCCAGGGGGCTACACTGACCCCTGCTGGCCAGGGGCTACGCTGACCCTTGCTGGCCAGAGGGGGCAACACTGACCCCTGCTGGCCAGGGGGGCTACACTGACCCCTGCTGGCCAGGGGGCTACACTGACCCCTGCTGGCCAGGGGGCTACACTGACCCCTGCTGGCCAGGGGGCTACACTGACCCCTGCTGGCCAGGGGGCTACACTGACCCCTGCTGGCCAGGGGCTACGCTGACCCTTGCTGGCCAGAGGGGGCTACACTGACCCCTGCTGGCCAGGGGCTACACTGACCCTTGCTGGCCAGAGGGGACTACACTGACCCCTGCTGGCCAGGGGCTACACTGACCCTTGCTGGCCAGAGGGGGCTACACTGACCCCTGCTGGCCAGGGGCTACACTGACCCCTGCTGGCCAGGGGCTACGCTGACCCTTGCTGGCCAGAGGGGGCTACACTGACCCCTGCTGGCCAGAGGGGGCTACACTGACCCCTGCTGGCCAGGGGCTACACTGACCCCTGCTGGCCAGGGGCTACGCTGACCCTTGCTGGCCAGAGGGGGCTACACTGACCCCTGCTGGCCAGAGGGGCTACACTGACCCCTGCTGGCCAGGGGCTACACTGACCCCTGCTGGCCAGGGGCTACACTGACCCTTGCTGGCCAGGGAGCTACTGACCCTTGCTGGCCAGGGGCTACACTGACCCTTGCTGGCCAGGGGGCTACACTGACCCCTGCTGGCCAGGGGGCTACACTGACCCCTGCTGGCCAGGGGGCTACACTGACCCCTGCTGGCCAGGGGCTACACTGACCCTTGCTGGCCAGGGGGCTACACTGACCCTTGCTGGCCAGGGGCTACACTGACCCTTGCTGGCCGGGGGGCTACACTGACCCCTGCTGGCCAGGGGGCTACACTAACCCCTGCTGGCCAGGGGGCTACACTGACCCCTGCTGGCCAGGGGGCTACACTGACCCCTGCTGGCCAGGGGGCTACACTGACCCCTGCTGGCCAGGGGCTACGCTGACCCTTGCTGGCCAGAGGGGGCTACACTGACCCCTGCTGGCCAGGGGCTACACTGACCCTTGCTGGCCAGAGGGGACTACACTGACCCCTGCTGGCCAGGGGCTACACTGACCCTTGCTGGCCAGAGGGGGCTACACTGACCCCTGCTGGCCAGGGGCTACACTGACCCCTGCTGGCCAGGGGCTACGCTGACCCTTGCTGGCCAGAGGGGGCTACACTGACCCCTGCTGGCCAGGGGCTACACTGACCATTGCTGGCCAGAGGGGACTACACTGACCCCTGCTGGCCAGGGGCTACACTGACCCTTGCTGGCCAGAGGGGGCTACACTGACCCCTGCTGGCCAGGGGCTACACTGACCCCTGCTGGCCAGGGGCTACGCTGACCCTTGCTGGCCAGAGGGGGCTACACTGACCCCTGCTGGCCAGGGGCTACACTGACCCCTGCTGGCCAGGGGCTACGCTGACCCTTGCTGGCCAGAGGGGGCTACACTGACCCCTGCTGGCCAGAGGGGCTACACTGACCCCTGCTGGCCAGGGGCTACACTGACCCTTGCTGGCCAGGGGGCTACTGACCCTTGCTGGCCAGGGGCTACACTGACCCTTGCTGGCCAGGGGGCTACACTGACCCCTGCTGGCCAGGGGGCTACACTGACCCCTGCTGGCCAGGGGGCTACACTGACCCCTGCTGGCCAGGGGCTACACTGACCCTTGCTGGCCAGGGGGCTACACTGACCCTTGCTGGCCAGGGGGCTACACTGACCCCTGCTGGCCAGGGGGCTACACTAACCCTTGCTGGCCAGGGGGCTACACTGACCCCTGCTGGCCAGGGGGCTACACTAACCCCTGCTGGCCAGGGGGCTACACTGACCCCTGCTGGCCAGGGGCTACACTGACCTTTGCTGGCCAGGGGGCTACACTGACCCTTGCTGGCCAGGGGCTACACTGACCCTTGCTGGCCAGGGGGCTACACTGACCCCTGCTGGCCAGGAGGCTACACTGACCCCTGCTGGCCAGGGGGCTACACTGACCCCTGCTGGCCAGGGGGCTACACTGACCCCTGCTGGCCAGGAGGCTACCCTGACCCCTGCTGGCCAGGGGGCTACACTGACCCCTGCTGGCCAGGGGGCTACACTGACCCCTGCTGGCCAGGGGGCTACACTGACCCCTGCTGGCCAGGGGGCTACACTGACCCCTGCTGGCCAGGGGGCTACACTGACCCCTGCTGGTGCTGGCTACCAGTAGCAGGAGGGGGCGCGGGTCACCACCACCGCCAGCAGCAGCAGCAGCAGCAGCAGCAGGAGGAGGGGGCGCGGGTCACCACCACCAGCAGCAGCAGCAGCAGGAGGAGGGGGCGCGGGTCACCACCACCGCCAGCAGCAGCAGCAGCAGCAGCAGGAGGGAGGGGGCGCGGGTTACCACCACCGCCAGCAGCAGCAGGAGGGGGCGCGGGTCACCACCACCACCAGCAGCAACAGCAGCAGCAGGAGGAGGGGGCGCGGGTCACCACCACCGCCAGCAGCAGCAGCAGCAGCAGGAGGGAGGGGGCGCGGGTCACCGCCAGCAGCAGCAGCAGCAGCAGCAGGAGGGAGGGGGCGCGGGTCACCACCACCGCCAGCAGCAGCAGCAGGAGGGAGGGGGCGCGGGTCACCACCACCGCCAGCAGCAGCAGCAGGAGGGAGGGGGCGCGGGTCACCACCACCGCCAGCAGCAGCAGCAGGAGGAGGGGGCGCGGGTCGTCACCACCACCACCACCACCACCAGCAGCAGCAGCAGCAGCAGGAGGGAGGGGGCGCGGGTCACCACCACCGCCAGCAGCAGCAGCAGGAGGGAGGGGGCGCGGGTCACCACCACCGCCAGCAGCAGCAGCAGGAGGAGGGGGCGCGGGTCGTCACCACCACCACCACCAGCAGCAGCAGCAGCAGCAGCAGCAGGAGGGAGGGGGCGCGGGTCACCACCACCACCAGCAGCAGCAGCAGGAGGGGGCGCGGGTCACCACCACCGCCAGCAGCAGCAGCAGCAGCACCGCCAGCAGCAGCAGCAGCAGCAGCAGCAGGAGGAGGAGGGGGCGCGGGTCACCACCACCACCACCACCACCAGCAGCAGCAGCAGCAGGAGGGGGCGCGGGTCACCACCACCGCCAGCAGCAGCAGCAGGAGGGAGGGGGCGCGAGTCACCACCACCGCCAGCAGCAGCAGCAGCAGCAGGAGGGAGGGGGCGCGGGTCACCACCACCGCCAGCAGCAGCAGCAGCAGCAGCAGGAGGGAGGGGGCGCGGGTCACCACCACCACCACCACCAGCAGCAGCAGCAGCAGGAGGGGGCGCGGGTCACCACCACCGCCAGCAGCAGCAGCAGCAGCAGGAGGGAGGGGGCGCGGGTCACCACCACCGCCAGCAGCAGCAGCAGCAGCAGCAGGAGGGGGCGCGGGTCACCACCACCGCCAGCAGCAGCAGCAGCAGCAGGAGGGAGGGGGCGCGGGTCACCACCACCGCCAGCAGCAGCAGCAGGAGGGAGGGGGCGCGGGTCACCACCACCACCACCACCACCAGCAGCAGCAGGAGGGGGCGCGGGTCACCACCACCACCACCACCAGCAGCAGCAGCAGCAGCAGCAGGAGGGGGCGCGGGTCACCACCACCGCCAGCAGCAGCAGCAGCAGCAGCAGCAGCAGCAGCAGGAGGGGGCGCGGGTCACCACCACCACCACCAGCAGCAGCAGCAGCAGCAGCAGGAGGGGGCGCGGGTCACCACCACCACCACCAGCAGCAGCAGCAGCAGCAGCAGCAGGAGGGAGGGGGCGCGGGTCACCACCACCGCCAGCAGCAGCAGCAGGAGGGAGGGGGCGCGGGTCACCACCACCG